TGCATACCTCCATAGAAGCTACATACACTGTATTGGACATATTATTATTTTCTTCATCTGCGGTAATACTTTTCTCTACAAGACCCAACACACACAAAAGTAGTATAATATTTTTTGAAAACATTATAATTCAAAATATGTACGTGAGACCTGCCGGGAAATGAAAATGTTCTCACTGCTATCCACAAACAGTCTTTTCGTTCTCAGTATGAAGTATAAACAGATATTTGACTGACACGTAGGTTTGAATTGAAAATATATGTATTTCGTTTAAAAACTGAAATGGTTTATGTGTTTTCTGCTGTTTTTGTCGTTGTAGTTGTTTTCATTTGTACAAATGATTCGAGTACGAAAATATTTCACTAAAAAAATACTGTTTACTGTTTGTTTTATACACCAATAGTTACCAATACCAATAGTTGTTGTAACTTATGCAAATTGTTTTTTTTTCAAGTTTCTACGACTACTTTTTGCGCATCGATGAAAAAAACAAAATCGTTGTAAAAAATCTGTGGACAGTAATATGTTCAAACCAGTTGTAGCGGTTTAGAAGATATCGTGGTACCATCCATAATATCTACTTAAAATGTCATATTTAGTCTTGTGCAGGATGGATACGATAAGGGTTGATCGTCTGTCTATGAAAATGTACTGTCGAAGTTACCCATATATCTTAATTAACAATATAATGAAAATATTTTCATTACCTGTTGACTGTTGATTCACTCACACATAGCAACCTAGAAACTGACTACGGCCAAAGTGTAAATTTACCCTATTTTTAGTATTTTTCCATAATAAAAACAAAATTTGACTACAGATTTTTGAGAAAATTGTATATGTTATAGTTCCATTTTAAATCTAACTTCGGTCTAATTTTAAGATCTAAATCTTTAAAACTTTGCTTGAAAAAGTGAAATAAAGAAAAAAATCTATCCCTTCTAGGGGAAAGAGTTTATGATATTTTTTTTAGGATTGTTAACGTTTATCGATAGTACTATGTTTTAAGAACAATTCATATAAATTCGGAACTTTTTCGATAATTTTTAAAAAAGTTATTGAGCATTTTTGTAGATCAAACTGCACCTTTTTGGAATACTACGGCCGATCTAATTTCAATGTTTTCGCTAAAAGTGACATTTAAAATAAAATTCCTTAGCTCGAGTTTCACTATTGTTTCAAAATTTTGATTAATTTATACAATGTGAATATATTACAATATTATTTAAAACCAGTAAATAGTACAACAAGTTTTGAGTAGGTATTTACTTTTAAAGTTTTTAAAGGTTTAAAGTGGTTGACGGGTGGAACGTTTGATCTATCCGCGTATTATAAACTGTAATTGTTAGTTATAATATTATTTTGAAATTGCGTGTATCGATTTATAAACCTAGGCTGAACCTTCAAACTTAAATCATTTAATTAATCCTCAAACCGAGGGTTGTACCGACGGCACGACCTTGTCACCACTTTCTAGAATTTTACATTCACACCAAATCAAAAGATAACATGTCACATTCAAAGCGCTTCAACCATTTACGGTTATTATATTTTAATTTAATCCGAAGATCTATCTAGACAAATCCCTTTGAGATTATGCAAAATGTCGACATGGCCTATAAAAATAGATGAATCATATACACATTGTACTTGAACAAAGCTACAGTAATAAAATCTGGTGAAAATATAGTAAACAAGTTTGAAAACTTGTACTAATGCAAAACAAGATATATTTTATTTTCCAGATAGTAGAAGTTTATTATGGATTCGTGAAATATATGGTTTTGGTTTAGTAATATTTTAGGTACACAATTTAATTTTTTTATATTTATATTTATTTATAACTGTATATGTCTGCAATTCATGGATTGTTGTCATTTCTGGATATTTTCTGTCAAAAAAAACTTTATTAATACATAGCTTAAATAGAATTAATTTTTATAATGTTACCTATGTTAAAAAAAAAAAAAACAATGTAAATTAATTATGTATTGTATTTTCGTTATTAAGACGCTGTCGAGGAATTCCCTCGGAAGAAAATAATAATTTCCGTAGTATGAAAAAGGGGAAGTGAATCACCAAATCAATAATATTCTCTTTTTAAATTAAAACAAATCATCTTTAAAAATAAGTAATGACTACCTTCTTTTGCACCAGCACGGATTGCAGCAACATTTTATACAAGGTGTCTCATTAGTCATTTGTCGGAGGAGCCTTTCTACACAACTGGCATGGGACAGTTGAACAAACTTTTGAGCAAAAAAAGTATTAGGTATTTTTTAAATTATAACGAAGATTATGAATCAAAATTAAGTGGTGTAAAATATAATAATAGCACAAAATTATGTAATCTTTTTAAAGTTGCACAACTGCACTAAGCTTTATGCCTGGGTATATAAGTTATTAACGATAACATCACATTAAACCAGTTTAAAGTAAATATCTTAAATATCTTGGAAGATAAGTTATCTTCAATCGTGAATATTTTTGGTACCGCATAGTTCAATTGTGCAAACAAAATTTAATGAAACAAAGTAGGTAATAGGTGTTAAGAAAACATACGTCGTTTTAATGAACCCCCGCAACCTAAAAAAAACAAAAAATCATTTTTATTTATTGAGAACTTTTAACAATAAAACATTTTTTATTGTTAACATGTAAGAAAATAATAGCTTTAAAAATTACATTTTTTACACGATTTTTAAAACTGCTAAGAGGGTTACTATTCTAATTCCAGTAGAAGAAAATTAACCAGATTTCATGTAATGCTGGTGGTTTGAACTTATACAGTGTTAGAGAAAGGGTTCGACGATAAACACGGGGAAAAAAAGGATAATAATAAGAAAAAGAACTGCCTTAATAATAATTTAACTAAAAAAAAAAATACTAAAAAGTAAAATATAATTTTACTACAAGAACAATTTTCCAATCAATTGTATCACATTTTTTTTCTAAATGTCAATTACTTTGAAAACAACCGAAAATCAACTACAATTTTTAATCATGTTAAATATCTTTAAGTTTTGACTTAAAATAAAATCGTGGGCTCTATTCATCCAAGATATGTGTCTGTGCCATATTTTAGACCTCTGCGACATCGGGAAATGAGTTAAATTAACTTTGCAAAATTTTAAAAATACACGTTTTTACAAAGGTACAAACGTGGTAGCGAGTTAAAGAAGAGCATGTAATATAAAAAAGAAAGTATACATCAAGTAACCACTAACTCTATTGTCTATACAATACCTTTAGGTTTATTTGACTGCTTGCCACCAACTATAATCCGTCAAATAATACATATAAAATTAATATTAAAAAAAAAACCAATGAGTTTAAATAGGAATCATGTTTTATACGATTGTTTAGTACTTTGGTGCAGCTTTTACATAAAAAAAAATCTTTATTGAAATGTTGTAGATTTATCTGGCTTACTATCATTTTCATCTCTAAAATTTCTTACCATTTTTATAAAATATTTATTGAAATTTCCACATTTAAAATTGTTTGTTAGGAAATATTTTATTTACTAATAAACATAGGAAAATATGTCAAATTCCATTAAACTAAATTTATTATGAAACAATTTATAAAATATGTAGGTATGACAAATAATTTTTCGTTCGGCTGACTTGGAGTAATATAAAGAATGATTTATATCCTTAAACACTATATATGTTTATGTATATTATATATAAACATTATCCATTAGGTAACTACAAATTCCTTAGTATATACTAACCTAATTGGACATTCTCCTGTTCATCACCTAACCAACAAATTAATGTATTGCTTGTATATATATATATTATCCATTAGGTAACTACTAACCTTTTGGCATATTTGACGATTGACCACCTAAACCAACAGGTTACACAAATTAAATTAACGTTATTTTAATAAATATTATATATAAACATTGTCCATTAGGTAACTACAATCTCCTTAGTTTATACTAACCTAATTGGACATTCTCCGGTTCATCACCTAACCAACAAATTAATGTATTGCTTGTATACATATATATATTATCCATTAGGTAACTACTAACCTTTTGGCATATTTGACGATTCACCACCTAAACCAACAGGATATACAAATCAAATAAATGTTATTTTAATAAATATTATATATAAACATTATCTATTAGGTAACACAAACTCCTTAGTTTATACTAACCTAATTGGACATTCTCCGGTTCATCACCTAACCAACAAATTAATGTATTGCTTGTATACATACATATATTATCCATTAGGTAACTACTAACCTTTTGGCATATTTGACGATTGACCACCTAAACCAACAGGATATACAAATCAAATAAATGTTATTTTAATAAATATTATATATAAACATTATCTATTAGGTAACACAAACTCCTTAGTTTATACTAACCTAATTGGACACTCTCCGGTTCATCACCTAACCAACAAATTAATGTATTGCTTGTATACATATATATATTATCCATTAGGTAACTACTAACCTTTTGGCATACTTGACGATTGACCACCTAAACCAACAGGATATACAAATCAAATAAATGTTATTTTAATAAATATTATATATAAACATTATCTATTAGGTAACTACAAACTCCTTAGTTTATACTAACCTAATTGGACACTTTCCGGTTCATCACCTAACCAACAAATTAATGTATTGCTTGTATACATATATATATTATCCATTAGGTAACTACTAACCTTTTGGGATATTTGACGATTGACCACCTAAACCAACAGGATATACAAATCAAATAAATGTTATTTTAATAAATATTATATATAAACATTATCCATTAGGTAACTACAAACTCCTTAGTTTATACTAACTTAGTTGGACATTCTCCGGTTCATCACCTAACCAACAAATTAATGTATTGCTAACTTTAAATTAATGTTAAAAATATATAATTTTTTGTTATAAAATATTGTTTTCACTAATGTAGAGTAATATGTATACTTCTAAATAATTAAATTTATTTTCAAATATATCCTAAAATATATGAACTACTAAATCCTTAGTTAATACTGACCTATTGGGGCATTTGACGATTCACCACCTAAGCCAACAGGTTATACAAATAATATTAATGTTATGCTAACTTTAAATTGATGTATAAAGTCTTTTATTTTCTGTTTTTTTCACTAACGTGAAGTAATATGTAACTTCTCGAGAATTAAATTTAAATATATGATACTAGCTATTTGATAATAATTAGTTAATCTCATATAAATTTTAAGGTAGTCAAATTATTCTTAGTTTATACTGACCTTTTGGGGCATTTGACGATTGACCACCTAAGTCAACAGGTCATACAAATAAAATGAATGTAAAAATAATTGATTTTCTGTTATATAATATTGTGCTTGCTAATTTTGAGTAATATGTATACTTCTAAAGAATTAAATTATATTCAAATATTTCTCAAAATATATGTGACAAGCAGTTTGATAATAATTCGTTTTTCTCTTATATACTCTAAGATAGTCAAATTATCCATTATTGCTTCAATTTCTGTAGTCAGGTCTAATAATGGACGCTTGTTTAGAAATACTACCATTTACAAATGGTATACATATAAATAAGTAAGCACGGTGAGTAATAAAAGCAATTATATATGGCCCAAAACTATGAACGACCATTCGGGCATGTCTGTTTCGATGAAAAGAATATTATCAAATTTTTTTTTCAATTATTTTAGCCATAGTAGTCGTATAAAGTATTTTTAGTTTTTTTTATTTACTCTAATTTTTTATCATTTTTCTATAGTATCTACTGCCATAAAAAATCTACTAAAAAACTGTTTCTTATGTAAAATAATCTCAGCTTTCTAAAAATAATATTGATTTATTTTTTCGAGAGACAGAGTATCATTTATTTAGCTTATAATATATATAAAAAAGAAAAATATGTAAATAATTAATATTAAATTAATATGTAAGTAATTCAACTATTATAATGATTAGTACATCTTATAACTCTTTTTTGCTTTTTAGGCGTTTTTATGAAGTATCTAGTTTTACAGTTTTCTCAGATTTTTAAAAAAATATCAGAAAAATTCTCAAGAGGGAAACACGAAAAAGTAAACTTTTTATATTACAAACTAACATTAAAAACTTTCTGTTACTCGAATAAAAACAATTATTTTACATAAGAATATAAGATAAGAATTATTTTTAACAAATGTTTTTATGACCGAAGAGACTTTAAAAAAACGATTAAAACAAAAAGAGTGAAGGATAAAACTAAAAATATAATCATCAATTTGTAAGATAAGGACCAAAATAAACGAAAAAAATTGATTTACTGACGAAAAAGATTCTTTATGTCGGAACAGACATGCAGAATGAGTTTCAAATAGTTCTGCATGGGAGTGGTTCAAAAGGTCGTTCGTATTTGGCGTTTTGACACATGTATTATTAAAAAACAAAGTTAAATTACCAATCAACTTTTTTCCACCTCATTTTTCCCACCTAACCAACGGATAACACAAATAAAATAACTGTTGATTGAATATCATTATTTACACATATTAGTGGGTGTAGCTTTAATAAAGCTCATTATTAAAATCATTAATTTTATCAAATATTTTATTTACTTTTAGTATCGTGTAAATATTCCAAAAACAAATGTATAATAAGAGTAATCATTAAGCGTACTGTTGTCTACTTTTAGGTCTATATTACTACACGGTCGTATTATACAATAAACTAGTAAATATATACAAGATAAATAGAAAACGTGTATAAAATTGTATATAAAATGTATAGCTGTATATAATTTATAAACGTACTTGGATATGGTCGACCTTGTGTGACTAAAATATATAAACAACAAAATTAGGTTTTAATATAAATTCATACTCGCGTACATAATTTTGAACATAATTTGTTATTTCATTAGAAACCATAAAATTATGATAATTATAGTGTTAAACCTGAGAATGTATTAAAAAAATACAAATAATAATTACCCAATGCTATTTCCATCATAATGAAAAACATAAAAAAAATTGTAGATTTTTGCATATTTTGTATCAATGAACTTTTGTAATTCTGAAAAATATTTCTACAATACACAACCTTTAAATGTACAGAGAAAAATGTAAATGGACATAATGTATATTATTTAGCAAGTTGTATTCAGGCTATAGGTATGGTAACAGATGTATTAAAGTATGACGCAAAAGGCAATGTTATTTGTAAAAAACAAAATGGTACATGTTTTCAAAAAACCTGTGAGGTGGAGCAAACCTAACATTAGCAATAAACATCTTCGGTTGAAGTTAAAAAATAATAATTGTACAATATTTTAAATATTCCAATACAACATAAAAAATTATCCAATTTTATACGTTATCATAATTTTTTTTTAAAACTGCATATAAAGTATAATACATTTTCCTGACATTTACTATTGTAACATCACATTTTTATTAAATACTAAACGCATATGCACTGAGCAAGCTAAATATCCCGTTGCTATGACTCATCTATCCCCCTTTTTATACAGAATGATTTCTGGGGGATGCATAAAAAAGACTGTCATTAAGTTTCAAGTTCTTGGCAGGAAGATATAAGATGGAGTGTAGTATTCTTTTTATGTGCGTACATTTCCCAACCAAACTTTCCCTTCTATCCTAACTTTGAAACTCTTATAATTTAAAAAATAGTCATTTTAAAATGGTTATCGCCCAGTTAACATTTTTAGTATCATTACCAGCGTTTCCATTCAAGTTTTAAACGTTGCTATCAAAAAAACTAAAAAAATAACATTATATAAAAACATTTTGGGGAAAAAAATTCAATTATTAATTAAACCCATTGGATATTGAGTGATTCACGATAAGTTGACAACCCTGTATATCATATGTAGTTTATTTTATATTGGCCCAACCAAATCTATGGTCAATATACGAGCACAATACATATCTATTTGAACTGATTAATTAAACAGTTGTTCCAACTAAACATTTAGTTGGACCAATTAACAATTTTATTATATAGCGTTGTATAAAGCGACTATCCAATATTTCAAATATTTCAGATATTATTCGAACATATTAGGTCATAATGTTAAATATATTATTATACCGAACCTCAAGGAAGAAAATCATCGATGAATAAGTTTCTTGTTAAAAGTAACCCATTCAAATAAATAATTATATTGGGCACCAGATGTACCTTGTCTTACCTATTAATTTAATAATTAAGTAACTCTCCTAAAAGTACAAATTGGTTCAACTAAATCTATGGTTAAAATACGAGCACAAAACATTTTTATTTGGACTGATTATTTAAAAAGTTGGTGCAGCTAATAGTATGATTTTTATAGGGGCACAAGGTGCTTTTAGGTGGTTATTCCGCCTAAAAGTTTAATGTCTCCATATAATAGTCCATAGTTTAAGTTGGAGCAACTGTTTTTTTCGTGTAGGAGGGTGGTATACAAATCAACAGTAAAAATATATCAATTTTATGTTTTCCTGTTATATACAGGAGATTTATTGATTATAACACGCTAATTTGCTTAATATAATAGTAGTATTTAGTTTCTCTTTTTAAAAACATGTACAATTACTAAATTTTAAAGCATTTTCGGGTCGAAAAAATTTTAACGAATAAAGTGTACATTATTTAACAATAGTTATTTAAACTATATTGAAACAGATTTAGTAAAGTATGACGTCGCATAAGGCATGTTATTTGAAAAACAACAGAACGTTCATGTTACTGAAAAAACATTTGAGCCGGATAAAACATATTTTCGTTAGCAATAAACAATTGTCTAATATTTCATATATTCCACATATTTTTCGAACAAAGTATGTTAAAATGTTTAATATATTATTATACCGAGCCGTAATTCAGAAAATTATCGATGAATATTGAATAGGTTTCTTGTTAAAAGTAACCCGTTTAAATAAGATGTACAAGATGTACCTTGTGTTACCTATTACTTTAAGTTATAGTATGGTTATTATAGGGGCACAATAAATATCTAGTTTTTTCTGTGTAGGGGGTTGGTATACAAATCAATAGAAAAAATGTATCAATTCTTATGTTTTCTGTTATATACGGAAAATTCATTAGGGATATGATACTAATTTGCTTAAAATAATTGTAGTATTTTGTTTCTCTTTTTAAAAACATATACAATTAATACATTTTTAAGCATTTTCGGGTCGTAAACAATTTAAACGAATACATTATTTAATTATAGTTATTTAAACTATATTGATACAGATTTATTAAAGTATGACGCAAATGGCAATGTTGTTGTAAAAAAAACCGAACGTTCATGTTTCGAAAAAGCACTTCAGCCGAAAAAAAATATTTCGTTAGCTATAAACAATTTTGAATAGCATTGTATAAAATAATGGTCTATTATTTAAAATATTCTTAATATTTTTCGAAAACTGTAAGTTAAAATGTTTAATATATTATTATACCGAGCCGTAATTCAGAAAATTATCGATGAATATTGAATAGGTTTCTTGTTAAATATAACCCGTTTAAATAAGATGTACAAGATGTACCTTGTGTTACCTATTAATTTAAATAATAGTATGGTTATTATAAGGGCACAATAAATATCTAGTTTAAATAACAAAATAAATGGTTGTTCCAACTAAATATTTAGTTAGGCCAACTATTTATTTATTTATTCCTCCTAGACATTTATTGTCTCCCTATATTATCCGATAGATTAAGTTGGACCAACTATGTATTTTTTTCTGTGTTGGAGGGTGGTATACAAATCAATAGTAAAATAGTTATTTTTATATGCGTGCATTTTCCAACCGCACTTCAAAATTTGTTCGATTTATACAATGTGAAAATATTACAATATTATTAAAAACCATTAAATAGTACAACAAGTTTTGAGTATTTACTTTTAAAGTTTTTAAAGGTTTAAATTTTTGACGGGTGGAACGTTTGATCTATCCGCGTATTATAAACTGTACATGTGAGTTATAATATTATTTTGAAATTGCGTGTATCGATTCATAAGCCTTTATATTTTAGCTGAACCTTCGAACTTAAATCATTTAATTAATCCTCAAACCGAAGGCACCACCTTGTCACCACTTGAGTTTTCTAGAATTTTACATTCACACCAAATCAATTGTGAAAAGATTGCGGTTATTATATTTTTATTTTATCCGAAGATTTATCTAGACAAACCCCTTTGAGATTATGCAAAACGTCGACATGGCCTATAACAACAGAGGAATCATATACACATTGTATTTGAACAAAGCTACAGTAATAAAATCTGGTGAAAATATTTTTTTAATTTTTTTTTTAAACATTTTATCGGTAAAACAAACAATCTGTAATTATTATATTACATTAAGTCCGTAAGCGGAAATAATACAATGACATGGATACACATGAATCCTCTGCAGCCGCCCAATAGCGGCACTCTTTAACTTGAGTGGTTTAGGCATTTTATTGGATTGACTTGGGATTTTAATTTACATTTAAATCTCTACATCATTTCCTCTTTAGCCTACGAGGTGGGTTGCCTGGGATGGTATCGGAATTGAGGGCGGATATTAAAGGATTTTTATGATTTGTCAGACGTGAACGGAATCGTTTATAGAGGATTTTGGCCGTCTCGTCAACTGTGTTTATTTTTAAGTCAGTGTGTAAAGTATGGTTAGAGACGTAGGCAGGGGCGTTCGTGATAATACGGATAGGTTATAGATTGGAAAGCTTGTATTTAGTTCGTATATGATTTTTTTGCCGCTCCCCAGAGTTGGATGCCGTAAGTCCAAATTGGCATCAAGAGAGTTTTATAAAGTAGGATTTTTGTTTTTAAGCTGAGGTTTGAGTGTTTACCAAGTAGGTAATAGACTGATTTCCTCCTCGAGTTTAAAAGGATTCTTTTGTTTTTTATGTGGTGAGCCCAGGTTAGCCGTTGGTCAAGGATTAGACCTAAATAGCGAGCGTTAGAGGATTTCGGTATATTTTTATTGTTTAATGTAACAGATGGGACTGTTCCCTGTTTTAAAGTAAAAGTCAAATGATGAGATTGGTGAAAATATAGTAAACAAGTTTGAAAACTTGTACTAATGCAAAACAAGATATATTTAATTTTCCAGATAGTAGAGGTTTATTATGCATTCGTGAAATATATGGTTTTGGTTTAGTTATAGTTAAAGTACACAATTAAATTTTTTTTTATTTATTTAGAAGCTGTATTTATAACTGTATATGTCTGCAATTCGGATTGTTGTCATTTCTGGATATTTTCTGTCAAAAAAAACTTTATTAATACATAGCTTAAATAGAATTAATTTTTATAATGTTACCTATGTTAAAAAAAAAAACAATGTAAATTAATTATGTACTGTACTTTCGTTATTAAGACGCTGTCGAGGAATTCCCTCGGAAGAAAATAATAATTTCCGTAGTATGAAAAAGGGGAAGTGAATCACCAAATTAATAATGTTCACTTTTTAAATTAAAACAAATCATCTTTTAAAAATAAGTAATGACTACCTACTTTTGCACCAGCACGGATTGCAGCAACATTTTATACAAGGTGTCTCATTAGTCATTTGTCGGAGGAGCCTTATTACACAACTGGCAGCATTTGACAGTTGAACAAACTTTTAAGCAAAAAAAGTATTAGTTATTTTTAAAATATAACGAAGATTATGATTAAAATCTATTGGTATAAAATATAAAAATAGCACACAATGATGAAATCTTTTTGAAGTTGCACAACTGCACTAAGCTTTATGCCTGGGTATATATATATATATATATAAGTTCAAATCATTGCACAATGTACACGAACATAAAATATGCGTTTTATAATAATATACTTTATATTACAGTGTATACTATTATACAACATGTTTAAAATTGTTTTAAAGATATTCGATTATAGAACTATTATAAATCCAACATTTCAAAATAAACGAACAAGAGATTTAAGACGTCCAAGATAAGTTATCTTCAATCGTGAATATTTTTGGTACCGCATAGTTCAATTGTGCAAACAAAATTTAATGAAACAAAGTAGGTAATAGATGTTAAGAAAACATACGTCGTTTTAATGAACCCCCGCAAACTAAAAAAAACAAAAAATTTGTTTTATTTATTTGAGAACTTTTAACAATAAAACATTTTTTATAGTTAACATGTAAGAAAAAAATAGCTTTAAATATAACATTTTTTACACGATTTTTAAAACTGCTAAAAAGGGTTACTATTCTAATTCCAGTAGAAGAAAATTAACCAGATTTCATGTATTGCTGGTGGTTTGAACTTAAACAGTGTTAGAGTAAGGGTTCGACGATAAACAGGGGGAAAAAAGATAATGGTAAGAAAAAGAACTGACTTGATGGTATACAAAAATAATAATTTAACCAAAAAAATACTAAAAAGTAAAAAATAATTTTACTACGAGAACAATTTACAAATCAATTGTAACACATTTTTTCAAAATGTCAATTACTTTGAAAACAACCGAAAATTAACTACAATTTTAAATAATGTTAAACAACTTTAATTTTTGACTTAAAATAAAAGCGTGGGCTATATTCAACAAATAGAGCCCCCGCGTTTCTTTTTAGTAAACAATTAACGATCTTTAACATTATTTGAAATTGTTAATTTTGTACTTATTAATTTTATTTTTTACTGTTTAGTCTTATTAAAGGTACTTAATAATTGCGAATAAGTTCCTAAGTTAATTTTGGAAGATTTGAAAAAACATGAAACTTTAGTGAAATGACCCCCTTAATTTGACCCCCTGGCATTTGCTAATTGGATGTCAAGGTCTCAATAATATTACAGGATATTGTATTGTCATCCAAGATAAGTGTCTGTGGCATGTTTCAGCCCTCTACGACATCGGGAAATGAGTTCAATTAACTTTGCAAAATTTAAAAAATACACGTTTTTACAAAGGTACAAACGTGGTAGCGAGTTAAAGAAGAGCATGTAATATAAAAAAGAAAGTATACATCAAGTAACCACTAACTCTATTGTCTATACAATACCTTGAGGTTTTTTTGACTGGTTGACGCTAACTATAATCCGTCAAATAATACATATTAAATTAATATTAAAAAATAACCAATGAGTTTTAATAGGAATCATGTTTTATACGATTGTTTAGTACTTTGGTGCAGCTTTTACATAAAAAAAAAATCTTTATTGAAATGTTGTAGACTTATCTGGTTTAGTATCATTTTCATCTCTAAAATTTCTTACCATATTTTTTAAATATTTATTGAAATATCCACATTTAAAATTGTTTGTTAGGAAATTTTTTATTTACTAATAAACATAGGAAAATATGTCAAATTCCATTAAACTAAATTTATTATGAAACAATTTATAAAATATGTAGGTATGACAAATAATTTTTCGTTCGGCTGTCTTAGAGTAATATAAAGAATGATTTATATCCTTAAACACTATATATGTTTATGTATATTATATATAAACATTATCCATTAGGTAACTACAAATTCCTTAGTATATACTAACCTAATTGGACATTCTCCTGTTCATCATCTAACCAACAAATTAATGTATTGCTTGTATATGTATGTATATATATATATATATATTATCCATTAGGTAACTACTAACTCCTTAGTTTATACTGACCTGTTGGGACATATGACGATTGACTACCTAAACCAACAGGTTACACAAATTAAATTAATGTTATTTAAATAAATATTATTTACAAACATTATCCACTTAGAATTTGTTGTTAGGAAATATTTTATTTTCAGTAAATAAAGAAAAAAAAATATGTGAAATTCCAATTAACTAAATTTAAGAATGAAATAGTTTATATGATATGTATGACAAACAATTTTTCGTTTGGCTATCTCAGAGTAATATAAAGAATGATTTCTATCCTAAGACCCTAAATATGTGTATGTTTATCCACATTATCCATTAGGTAACTACTAACTCCTTAGTTTATACTGACCTGTAGAGACATTTGACCATTCATTACCTAAACCAACAGGTTACACAAATCAAATAAATGTTATATTAATAAATATTGTATATAAACATTATCTATTAGGTAACTACAAACGCCTTAGTTTATATTAACCTAATTGGACATTCTCCGGTTCATCACCTAACCAACAAATTAATATATTGCTAACTCTAAATTAATGTTAAAAATATTAAATTTGTTGTTATAAAATATTGTTTTCACTAATGTAGAGTAATATATGTCTAAATAATTAAATTTATTTTTAAACATATTTTAAAATATATGAACTACTAACTCCTTAGTTTATACTGACCTGTAGAGACATTTGACGATTCACCACCTAAGCCAACAGGTTATACAAATAATATTAATGTTATGCTAACTTTAAATTGATGTAAAAAGTCTTGCAAATAAATGTTATATTAATAAATATTGTATATAAACATTATCTATTAGGTAACTACAAACTCCTTAGTTTATATTAACCTAATTGGACATTCTCCGGTTCATCACCTAACCAACAAATTAATATATTGCTAACTTTAAATTAATGTTAAAAATATTAAATTTTTTGTTATAAAATATTGTTTTCACTAATGTAGAGTAATATATGTACACTTCTAAATAATAAATTTATTTTCAAACATATTTTAAAATATATGAACTACTAACTCCTTAGTTTATACTGACCTGTTGGGACATATGACGATTCACTATCTAAACCAACAGGTTACACAAATTAAATTAATGTTATTTAAATAAATATTATATATATAAATATATCCACTTAGAAATTGTTGTTAGGAAATATTTTATTTTCAGTAAATAAAGATAAAAAAATTATATGAAATTCCAATTAACTAAATTTAAGAATGAAATAGTTTATATGATATGTATGACAAACAATTTTTGTTTGGCTATCTTAGAGTAATATAAAGAATGATTTCTATCCTAAAACACTAAATATGTGTATGTTTATCCACATTATCCATTAGGTAACTACTAACTCCTTAGTTTATACTGACCTGTAGAGACATTTGACGATTCACTATCTAAACCAACAGGTTATACAAATAATATTAATGTTATGCTAACTTTAAATTGATGTGAAAAGTCTATTTTTCTGTTGTTTTCACTAACGCAGAGTAACATGTAACTTCTTAAGAATTAAATTTAAATATATGATACAAGCCATTTGATAATAATTAGTTATTCTCGTATAAATTTTAAGGTAGTCAAATTATCCTTTATTGCTTCAATTGCTGTAGTCAGGTCTAATAATGGACGCTTGTTTAGAAATACTACCATTTACAAATGGTATACATATAAATAAGTAATCACGGTGAGTAATAAAAGCAAATTTATATGGCCCAATACTTCAAATATGAACGACCATTCGGGCATGGCTGTTTCGATGAAAAGATATTCTCAAATTTTTTTTCAATTATTTTAGCCATAGTAGTCGTATAAAGTATTTTTAGTTTATTTTATTTACTCAAATTTTTTATCGTTTTTCTATAGTATCTACTGCCATAAAAAAAACGATTAAAAAACAGTTTCTTATGTAAAATAATCTCAGCTTTCTGAAAATAATATTGATTTTTTTTTCGAGAGACAGAGTATCATTTATTGAGCTTATAATATATATAAAAAAGAAAAATATGTAAATTTTACACACATTTCAACTATTATAATGATTAGTACATCTTATAACTCTTTTTTGCTTTTTAGGCATTTTTATGAAGTATCTAGTTTAAAAGTTTTCTCAGATTTTTAAAAAAATATCAGAAAAATTCTCAAGAGGGAAACACGAAAAAGTAAACTTTTTAGATTATAAACTAACATTAAAAACTTTCTGTTACTCGAATAAAAACAATTATTTTACATAAGAATATAAGATAAGAATTATTTTTAACAAATGTTTTTATGTCCGAAGAGACTTTAAAAAAACGATTAAAACAAAAAGAGTGAAGGATAAAACTAAAAATATAATCATCAATTTGTAAGATAAGGACCAAAATAAACGAAAAAAATTGATTTACTGACGAAAAACATTCTTTATGTCGGAACAGACATGCAGGGTGAGTTTCAAATAGTTCTGCATGGGAGTGTTTCAAAAGGTCGTTCGTATTTGGCGTTTTGACACATGTATTATTAAAAAACAAAGTTAAATTACCAATCAACTTTTTTTCCACCTCATTTTTCCCACCTAACCAACGGATAACACAAATAAAATAACTGTTGATTGAATATCATTATTTACACATATTAGTGGGTGCAGCTTTAATAAAGCTCATTATAAAAATCATTAATTTTATCAAATATTTTATTTACTTTTGGTACCGTGTAAGTACTCCAAAAACAAATGTATAATAAATGTAATCTTTAAGGGTACTGTTTAAATGAATGTAAAACATCTTCAATTTTCAGTTGTATAATATTGTTTACACCAATGTAAAATAATATGTATGCTTAAAATAAATGTAACAAATCATTTGAAAATAATTAGTTTTTCTCGTACTATAACTCGTATAACTCAGGACTAATACTGGATACTTGTTTAGAAATATTACCTTTGTAAAAGGGTATGCATACAAATAAGTATGCAAACTAGGTTTTAAATGCAAAAATATATACATGGTCCAAAACGTCATATATTAACGATCAATCGAAGCAACCCCCCGTGAAATATTTTGAAACTTATTCTGCATGTCTGTTTTGACGAAAAGAATATTCCTAATTTTTTTTATTCAATTATTTTAGCCGTAGTTATAATTTAAAAAAAAACGGAAAATTATGTTAATTTTACACATTATTATTACTAGGATTATTTTTTCCTATTTTTTGATTTCCGCGGGGGAGAGCTACAAAATTACGTTCGTATTTGGCGTTTTGACACATGTATAATTTAAAAATATTGTTAAATTACCAATCAACTTGCTTTTCTCCTTATTTTTCCCACCTAACCAACAGATAACACCAATAAAAATACTGATAACTAACAAAAAAAGACGCATAGGAATGGAAAAATTAGCGTTCAATAAAAAATCCAATTTATTCACGTCCAAAAAATTTTAACCTTAGCATTAGAAAAAGACTCATCAAAACATATGTTTGGAGTATAGCCCTATAAGGCTGTGAAACATGGATTATAAATGAAATTAAAAGAAAAGCATTAGAATCATTTGAGATGTGGTGCTGGAGATGCATGGAAAAAATAAGCTGGATGGAACGAAAAATTAACCAAGATATACTGGAAATAGTCGGCGAGGAACGATTATTAATAGACTCGATTAGAAAGAGAAGATAGAAAAATGGTGGGACATACATTAAGACATCCAGAAGAACTGCACAGCACAATACTAGAGGTATGATAGAAGCAAAAAGACCACCTGGGTGACCTCGCAATACATTTATTAGACAAATCAAGAAAGATGGAGGAGTTGAAAGCTATAAGGCATTAAAAGAAATAGCGAGTGACCGTGAAGATCGGAGAAGAAGAGTTGCAAACCAACCTACGGGTTGAAAACAAAAAAATTACATAGTTTTGTATAGCAAAACAACTGTTGAGT